TGTCCCTCTGCACGCTCCTGCTGACACAGAAGAGCTCTGAGATCTCCTCCCTCCTCTGCATGGACTTGCTCAGGATTTCAGTCCCTACTCAGCTCCACCCTCTTGTCCTCCTACACCAGGTCCTACCAGCTGTGCTCCACCCAGGTTTTCTCCAGCCTCTCCCTTTTGCCTCCCCGTACTCCAAACTGGAGCATTCCTCCAAGAGCCTCTGGGTCCTTCTGGGTTGTGATCAGCTCCATCCACCACTTTCAAGTTCCTCCTCCAAATTCCAGAATCTTTTCATTCCTGCCTGGTGAGACTGGTGCTTCTCAAGTGCTCATGGAGTGGCCTGGATGAGTCAGGTGTTGTGCAGCTCTGATGCAATGATTTAGCCCACTGCATTCCCAAAAACCTACACCCCTGGTGAGGGACCTGCTCTCCACCCCACTGCTGCAGACATCCTGCAGCCATGGCTCTGTGCGAGACAGGTAGAGCAGAAGTCAGCACAGAACAAGGCATTTCCACCTCTGGAATTCAGAGAAGAGCTCAGGCAACTTACCAAAGGGAATTTATTGTTTTCCATTAAGTCACGCAGTACCACCCTGGCAGCAAATCCCTGCGACAGGGCAGCAAATGCTCCCATGTAGATTTAATGTATCCCTTCAAACATCCAGAAGAAAACCACTCTAAGATAAAATCTGGGCTCAAAATAGGCAAGATTCCACGTGGGACAAGTGAAAAAAAGAAGCCAGAGCAGACAGAAGAGTATCTGTCACGGAAGGAAGGAGAGAAACGCAGGTTCACTCCTACGGCTGGGAAGGGAGAGGTGAGGAAAGAGCAGCAGTGTCACTCGGCAGCGCCAGGAGAAGGGCGAGCATCCCGCTGGATCCAGAGCAAAGCAGCAGCACAAAGGGGCCTAGGGAAATTCTGCAGAGGAAAATGGTGCCACAGAAAGAGCAAGAGATGCTGCGTTTCTGGAACAGGTGGGATAAGGACACATAAAAAGCCCATTGGAGAGATGCGGGCTGGCAGCAGGCACTGGGTAAGAAACCCCTCAGAAGGGGAGCTCGATAAAGTCAGGAATGTTCAGGGGAGTTGTCTGACCTTTCCAAAAGGCACCCCTCCATCCTTTTGCCTCAAAAATCACCTCTGTGGGCAAGCCTTCTCCAAAAGCCCTGCCTGAGCCCTCAAATACAAACTTGCTGTCCGAGGCTGTACATCCTCCCTTGTTCCTGTTTTTCTGACAGATCTCCACTTACCGCTCCCACAGACCCACCCGCGTCCTTTAAACCTTCTCCCACGGAACAGGCAGGTGCAGCCCCATCGTTTGAAACAAGCATACTGCCCTTTCCCCACCTTGCCTCGTGGTAAGCACAAACCCTTCCTCCCAGGCTCCCTTTCCCACAAAAGGCTTGTTTCCATGAAGGGCTCCTCACCTGGAAAATGTCCACCTGACCCAACCAAAGACCTCTCTCAGGGACAATACGTGCCCAAACCCAGTGTTCCCACCTTCCCTCTCCCTGCTGGAGGGCAGTTTATTTTCAATTTTCGTCCCATATCCACCTTGCACCACACAGATTCCTACTCCTGCCTTGGGTATCTGTCCCTACCCACAGCAACATCCTCAAACAACGCTCTTCCCGCAGCAACCTGCGTGCCTGGGACCAAACACACCTCGCCCACTGCTCAGTGAAGTGCCATGAGCACAAGCCATCAGGACATACGCTGGGTCCAACCTCAGGTGGATCAAACCCGCTTCCTCATTCCACCAACCGCAGATCTCCTCCTTACCTGCCTCTGGACCAGCCACGGCACAGCCAGAGGGAATCTGGGAGGGGCTGGAAAAGGGAAAGACCACGGGGTGGGATTCTGCTCCCCCTGCCAACGTGTCTCCAGGTCTCAGCACTTCCAAGGAGCATTCTCCCAGCTCTTCTCAGGAGTAGCAGCACTCAGGGCTGCTCTGCCTGTCTCCCCCCTGTCCCCAGCTTCAGGCACTTAACACTCACCTGGCTTGTGAGGGCTTTTAGGTTTGGCTGGGGTTGGGCTGACAACCAGCACAGCCAGAGAAAGCCCTCAGCAGCGCCAGACAGCGCTTGAGAGGGAAGACTATGAGTACAGAGAGTCCAAAGCCAAACTCCCTCCAAGCCTCTCCCGGGACACGCAGTACAGGCACGACGGTATCTCTGCAGATCCTCATTTTTGGTCATCTTCTACGTGAACTGCTTCACTTCTCTCCTGAGCTCACATTAACTTAGACGACCACTGTGCCATATGGCAAGTGGTTTCACATCTCAGTTAAATAATTTTTCATGCAAAATGCAGTTTAGTTTGCTCTGAACTGAGCCCTTTTTTGATTTCACCCAATGCACTCTAGGCCTGCTGCAAGCAGCAGCAGCAGTGGTCAGCTGCTCCCTGTCCACTCCCTCTGGGCCATCAGTGACACTCCAGACCTCTGCCGTCGGATGACGAATGTCTCTGTCTTTTACTACCTTTTCCAGACAGACTAAGATGTCCTGAAAAATGTTCATTTTCCTTGTACAAAAGCTGCTGCACACTGGGTCGGGTCACACCGTTTGCTGCTCCTCATTCTCTGTCCCCCTCCTGATTTACTGAATCTCCTGAGACTTGAGGACCAGGATCTGACCAGTTTGCTCTCTTTGTTCTTCTAATAATTCTCTGACAGAGAGTCTAAAAGAGGAACTCAAACAACAGAGAGGAGCTCATAAGCCCAAGACAGGTCACAGCAAGAGCTCCAGTGCTCAAGCCGAACAGTCACAGCTGAGTGAGACACAAACACTTTGGGTGACTCAGGAAGGTGCTCAGGGCACACACACTGCGCCTCGATCACAGGCAGGACTGTAACCACCCGATCAGAGGCTAAATAAAATGTCAGTAAAAAACTTGCATTTATAATCCAAAAGATGGTCTTCCAAGCTCACAAACCTCAGTTTGTCCCAGTCCCAGGAGGTTCAGTGTAGCACTAGGCTGGGCTGTGACTGTTCAGCAGGACACACAGAGCCGAGAGCACAGGGACTGGCAGGTTCTCTGCAGGCGTGTCGCAATCACCCTCCTCTGCAGATGGGGCTTACACCCATTCCCACGTCCCAACCTGCCCATAACACACATTTTCCAGGGAAATCTCCCTGCCTAAAATATAACAAGATAGTGAGCTACCTGACAAAGGAGCTGAGAGCATCACACTGGTGTCTCCATACCTTGACAACATCACAACCGAATCCCACAGGCAGCTCAGCTCACAGGGATTCAGGGGAAAGACAGAGAGAACCCAAAAATATCAGAGCAAGAACCTGACCCTTTCACACGCAAGAATCTGTTTGGGTGGGGATGTGCAAACTGCACATTTTAACAAAACTGAATCAAATTTACTTCGGCCTGAATCAAAATCAAGTTCTTGTTTTCTAAGTTGGTTTGTTTTTTTTTTTCCCAACATTTGATGGCAAATTCCATAACATGGTAGTAAGGCAATGAAAAACTCAAAAGCTAATAACTGATTTCTCAATTTTTTAACAAACTGGCAACTCAGCCCATACTCCCTAAGGAGCATCTCTCCATCACACTGCAGTCAAACACCTTGTCTCTCTGGCACCGGCAGTACTTGACTAACTTTTTAAAAATGGTACAGTTTCCACAGGGGATACATGGCAAAACCTGCTCTGGAATATCCCAAAGCCCAGTACTGTTTTAAGGCTTTTGCTTCCTGAGAGGCAGGTTTGAATTCCTGCCCGCAGCATCCCAGGCTCCAGATAACCCAACAGAACAGGGACATCATGGCTTGGGTTCCTGCAGAATGGTATGCTGGGAACCAAACAAGAGAGCTCAGCCCAGCCCCAGCCCCTGCCCTGTGAAAGCAAAGCCTTGGGAGTCAGAGACACTGGGCTGGGCCCAGCAGACGAGCAGATCTCTGGTCCTCTGCTTCTGCAGAGAAACCACAGAGGCACAGGGCAGCACATGGAGGGCTTATCCCGGTGTGCCCTGTGTGGACAGAGAGCTCTGCAGCTGAATAGAACAGCAGCAGAAGCTGCAAGTGCACGCTGGAGTCCCAGACTATGGAATGGTTTCAGATGGGAAGGGACCTTTAAAGCTCATCCATGGGCAGGGACACCTTCCACTAGCCCAGGTTGCTCCAAGTCCAGTTCAGCTCGGCCTGGAACACTTCCAGGGATTGGGCAGTCACAGCTTCTCTGGGAAACCTGTGCCAGGGCTTCCCTACCCTCACAGGGAATGATTCCTTCCCAGTATCCCAGTGAGAAGCCATTCTCCCTTGTCCTGTCACTCCAGGACCTTGTCTAAACCCTCTCCAGCACTCCTGGAGACCCTTTAAGCACTAGAAGTGGCTCCAAGGTCTCGCCAGAGCCTTCTCCAAGCTGAACACCCCCAGCTCTCCCAGCCTGTCTCCGGAGCAGAGGGACTTCAGCCCTTGGAACATCTCTGTGACCCAACGATCATAACTATAAAGCAGCTCTACCGTTTTTAATGCTCTTACTTGACACTTTTTGAAATTTACGGCTTAAACCAGACTTTTAAAATTCACGCTGCGCTTCGGCTGGTAATGACTGTGACACACAGGGGCGACGATTACCCCAGAGGGCAGGAGACCCCTTTGTCCCACTCCCCGGACAGCCGAGGACCGCGTCGAAGTCGCGGGTTCCTCCTCAGCCAGGGGCTCCCCACCACAGTCGGGGACTCTCCCCCTCAGTCTATCCCCCGGTCACAGCCGGGGTGTTCCCGGCCCGGGGTGGCCGCACCGCACCCACAGCCATCGGCGCTCGCATGGCGCACGATCCCACCCGCGATCCCCGCCCCGCAGCGGGGGCGCTCGGGCCCGGCACGGCCCCCCGGAGCAAGGGGAAGACACGCCGGGCTCGGCGGAGGCCGCCCCGGGAGCGGGGCCGCGCAGGCCAGGGCAGCGCCCGAGCGGCCGCGGTGGGCCGGGCCGGTCCCGGCCGGGCCGAGCCGCGCTCCGAGGGCCACGGGATGGCGGTGCCAGCCCGCGGGCTCACCTTGGGCAGCTCGCGGAGCTGGTTGGCGTCCAGCAGCAGCTCCTCGAGCGAGCGGCTGTAGCGGTAGATCTCCTCGGGCACGGCCTGCAGCGAGCAGTGCCGCCGGTCCAGCGCCTCCACGTGCCGGTTGCAGCGCCAGAGCGGCGGCATGCAGCGCAGCATCGCGCCGGGCCGGGCCGGGCCGCCGGGCCGAGCCGCCCGAGAGCGCCCGGGACGGGCCTGCGGGATCGCCCGGATGCAGGGGGGGCGGGGAGGGGACGGGGGGGCCGGACCGGGCTGCACCGAGCGGCGGCCGCGCTCCCGCGGCGGCGGCTGCAGCCCCGCTCCGCTCCCTCCGCGCCGCCGGCCGGGCCTAGAGCCGCTCCCGGTGCCGCTCCCGGAGCCGCTCCCGGCCTGCGCCCGGGGCCGCACCGCCCCCCGCGAGTGTCCCTGGGAAACGGAGTCCCTGGGAAACGGAGTCCCTGGGAAATGGAGTCCCTGGGAAATGGAGTCCACTCCCGCCCCGCCCCGCCCCGAGGGGCCTGGAACGGCACCCCGGCCATGGAGCGGAGCCGCGTGCCCCCCCCCACCAAAAACATCCCTGGGGAAAAACATCTCGAGGGAAGAATGAGCCCAAATGTGTTCGCACAGCAAGGGCTTGGGATTTCCTCAGTAACTCACAGACATGGAGACACACACACAGAGACAGAGACACAGAGACACACACAGACACAAGCAGGCACACGGACACACAGAGAGACACAGCACAGAGACCCCCTCACACGGACACATGTAACTGCCAAATCTGCTTTCCAGATTTAGGAAAACACTTTGCAACAGTCCCCTGCCACAGCGTGAAGTTCTGTGGTGCAGCAATATTTCTCTTGTAAAAAAGCCTGGTGGGACCATAGATGGTGCACTAAGGCAACCAGGAGCAGGAAACAGATCCTTATGAACAGAGCTTGGGCCGTGCCCATAGGTAGAGCAGAAGTCAAAGGGATGTGGCAGAGCTGAAGAAACAAGTGCTGTGACAGGAGAGACAAAAAGCAGCTTCCTCTGGCTATTTTCTCTGTGCAGGGCACAACAGATAGATCAAAGCCCACACGTATGTCCGTTCTGGGACACGGCACTGCTTTGTGACAAAAGCCAAAGGGCAAAGTGAGTGTCCACCTCTGACCTGTCTCAGGACCTCCCCGTTCCATCCCCTACTGCTTTCACGGTTTCCTGGTTGCTTTGTCACTCTTTCTTGCTCAGTTTCTCCTGCTTTATGAAGTTTATCCCTGCTCCAGCCCAGCACTGTCAGGCAGCCCTTATACCCAACTCCTCTCCCGATACAATTCTCTGTCCTGGCTACTCTCGCCCTGCATACAGCTCTTCATCTCCACACCAGATCCTACAGTGGTTGTTTATCTCATTTCTCTCTCATTTATCTTTCAGAGAACAGATGCCCCTTCCTCACTGTCTGACAATGGCACCTTCACATCCACACTTGTGTGACACTGGGCAGAGCCCAGTGCCCTGGGAACAGCCTGGGACACCTGGGGCACCAACCCAGGGCATGATATGGGTTCTGTGTGCTCTGCATCCCTCTTTCCGTGGAGCCAGAAATATTCGTGCAGTGAACAGAAAGCGACCGGTAACGGAGTGACACCAGAGCGCAAGGCGCTGGTGAGGCATTGCTGAGGTGCTGGTGAGGTGCTGGCCTTTGTGCAGACAGGAGGAGGTAAGAGCTGTCCAAGGGCCTCTCCGTTTCACTGCCTGTAATGAGCAGCGGCTGTGAAACAGGCAAGGAAGGACTTTTTCACAGAATCGTAGAATCACAGACTGGTTTGGGTGGGAAGGGACCTTCCTACGTGTCCCTGGGACCGGAGGGGGCAGCGGCTGCTCTAGGGCCTGTGGGGGGACAGTCAAATTACCTGGGAGAAGGAAAAAGGGTCTGGATCCAGGCCCAACCATCCTGGCTATAAAAAGCCGGAGCAGCCCCGTGTCCCCTCTGCAGGAGCTCCGTGGGGGGGCTGGAGCAGCACCCAGACCCCACACCCACTGCAGGGCACAGGTAACACTCGGGGCCGGGGTCCCGGGGTGACGCCGTGGGGCTGCGGGGGCCGGGGTGCTGGGCACGGGGGGCGACAGCCCGTGGGACCAGGGTCGGGGTCAGGGCAGTGCTGGGACGTGGCCGGGGGGCTCCCGGCCAG